TTTTTTTGACCAGTGTATATATTTTCAACCTCCACAGATCGCATTAGGCCTTGGCATTTGCGCATAAACGCCTTTATCGCCACTTTACAATTCAAATGCAGATTCGATATTTTTATTTTTATTGGGATATAAGGGAGCAACTGCAAAGTAACGATTCGTTACTTTTCGAGTAACTGTAACTGTAACGCGTTACTTTTCAGAATAGGTAACTTGTAACTGTAACTAGTTACTTTTATAAAGTAACTTTCCCAATCCTGATAAAATTATACGCGAAATATGTCCATACATATTGTTACATTGTATATTTCTATATACCGTTTTGTAAAATTCGCAATAGTTTTCGAGTGACAAATTTGTTCACCGTTAAAGTTACAACATCTTTTCTCCCCGTTGGGATATCGATACATTGCGCATAAATTTTTGCAGGAAGGTGCCCCTTTCCTCTTCGACCACCATCTTACGTCAGGTACCGGAGTACGTCGAACCGGTCCTGACCCCACCTTCCCCCGTCTGTCGAGCGCGTCGATTTGAATTCAGCAGCTTACGGAAGAGAGCAACCGTCCCGAAAAATTTCATCACCCAAGCGGCGCGCGGAGAATCCGAAAGGGACTCTTCTTAAATTTCCAAGTTACAAAACGAATCCCTCTACCAGCCGGATTTCGGTTCGAAAAACGGCTCTTAAAAGTTTGCAAACCATTTTTCGTACCCGGAGCAACTTCTACTTCTGAGAGTCCGGGACTAAGAGGGTGCCGCTCGTACGGGATTCTTTTCGCACCACCGGAAGGGCCAGTTCTTCGGAGTTTTCGAAAGATATCGATCACGCGCTACTCGGCGGGGGGCACTTACCTAGCTCGGCGTAACATAGCGCGCCGATGAGGGACAGGATCCCGGAGAAGATCCAGACGATGAGGGCCAGGCCGACGCTGCCGCTGTTCCTGAGCACGCCTTTGGGCGACACGAAGATACCGGCGCCGACGATGATGCCGACGATGATCGCCACGCCGTCCCACAGACCCAGCTCCTTCTTGAGCTTGACGCCCTCGCCGTCGTTGTTGGCCGCCGCGGCGTCGGGCCGCAGGACCGGCTTCTCCGCCGGCGCCACCTTGTCCGGCATCCTCGCGGACGACCTCGAGTCCCTTCTTTTTTTTTTTCGAAAAAAAAACGGAGCGGGCGCGCTCGCACGCGCGCGCACACTAACGTCACGCGCGTTTCCGCGCGACGACTCGGAGTATTCGGACGACGGTGGCCGCGGCGTGCCGTGTGGGCATCACCGCGAGTGCGTGCGACGCGCCGGCACACACGTGGTCAAGACGGAGCGCGGGCGCCGAGAGCGGGAAGCTACGGAAGATAAGCCAGGACGAAAGGAGGAAGAGACAAAGATACACGAGGCAGAGAGAAAGAGAGATATATATATATATAAAGTACGCGCGGGCTCGTTCGCCGATCACCACGTGGCAAGGAGCGTCTCGCGCGGCGGACACACACGCACAACCTGTGCGCCGGGCAGCGATCGCCGAACTGCCGCTCGCTGTCTCGCGCTCGCCGGTACGGGCCGTACGGTGCGCGCTCTCACCACCCGCCACCCTTTAACGCGATTCGCCGCTGCGCGCCGATCGAACCGACGCGACGCTCGCGGCGGCCGCGCGCGAACACGCGCGCGCCCATTGGCGCGGGCACCGCGCGCTCCGTTGCGTCGGCCGAAAGATTCCTCTAATTTTTATATTAAGCCTCGTGTCCACGATCCAAGAACTGCGTCCAAGTTCTAGTGCCGAGAAATGCGTAGCCAATCACCTTGCAGCTTTTATGGAATAGCTGCAGGTTGATTGGCTACACATTTCTCGAAACTAGAACTTGGATCAAGTTCTAGCATCGTGGACATAGGCCCTTACTCACTTTTCTTTCTTTTACTTTCCCATTTGCTTTCTTACTGTTTCTTTGTCAACTAATATACTGCATTTTATTGTAACCATGTTTCTTCACGCTTGAGGGGACACTGTCCTACCCAGTGAGAACTGATTCGTCGATCGATGTCGAGATGCTGATTCGACATCGATCGACGAATCATATCTCGCTGAGCAGAGCGTTTAATAGATAACGATTGGCGATTCTCTGTTTCCGGTTTTAAAACAAATGGCCGAAGCCAATAGAAGACGTAACCGATTGTTTCGATTCCTTGCTAGAGGATCCCCAGATCGGGCTCCGGAATCCGAGGCGAATTTCGGCCTCGCTTCTCCACTCTCGCGCCGAAAGCGCGACGAAAACTCGGGGCCGCGTGCGACGGAAGTCCACTCGCGAATTCTTGCTACGTCGAGACTTTGCGGTCTCCCTCGTATTCCGTTAAACGTGATGAAGCAACGTTCGAAACTGATGAGCGCACTGAAATTTAGTGTTTTCCGCGAGCGTGATGTCGCGCCGCGTAGACGCCATGATCTTTTTGCTGAGCTTTGAGAAATGTACGCGGTCAGCAGTACGTGCCGAGATTTAAAAAAAAAACATCGCGAACCACGTGCAGATCCGACTCTTGCTTAAAAAGAAAACACTGCTGTGCCGTTTCCCCACAATGGCTTCCGCCCTCGAGCTACCATCTGGGTTAGGTTAGGTTTTGGTTTGTGGTTTTGCACTTGGAATCTTCGCTTTCTCTTTGTATATTTATCTCTTTCGAAACGCGGGAATTTTTGGGGATCTCAAGCATCTTCGAAATCTCAAGTCCAATCTACAATATGTTTGCCGATTGGAAACATTCTATTTTATATAAACAAATCGATGCGCTTAAAAAGTTTATCGGTCATACGATTGTATAATGTACAGATTTATTAACTTGCACAAATTTTTTAAATATATATCTTGGCTGTAAAATAGAATGTTTCTAGACGCAAAGAGCGCAGTGTAGATCAGGCTTTAGGGTAGATCATGCGCACTCGGCATCACTGATGCCTTCCCATATGAATTTAGATGCATGCATGTAGAACACATTTACATTTTCCATGTATGTATTATACAGGGTGTCCCATTTTACCTTGGACAGTAAAATATTTCAAAAACTAAGCCCAGCAAACAAAAATGTTTCAGACAAAAGTTGTATGGTTACGAGATGGACAATTTTTTAATGAAACCCTCTATTGTTTATTACACTATCTTATTCTACTAATTAATATGAACAACTTTTTCAAAACATTTTTGTTTGCTGGGCCTAGTTTTTGAGATATTTTACTGTCCAAGGTAAAGTGGGACACCCTGTGTACAGAATGTAGAGGAAAGTCCCCTATTATTATGTGATAGACTTCTAATACGAGATAGTAGGCTTTTAACAATATCTAAGCCACTAAACACATTTCACTCCAAGGGCAATAAACTCACGGTAGCACCAACAGATGATGCCTATTAATGTAGCCGAAACCCTGCTACCTCATATTAGGAGCTTGTCTCATAACGAGGGACTTTCCTCTACGAATGCTCCAATTCATATGGGAAGGCATCAGCGATGCCTAGCCCGGTAAAAGCTTGTTCATGCGTGAACATGAATAAATATATAGAATTACATGTTTATTCATGTTCTTCATACTGAAAGGGTACAACGCGAGAAATCCCCCCCCCCCCGAATTTTAGCAGCAAGCGCCCATCGTTCCTGCGCCGCTGCCCTCACCTACGTCTTACGGGCGCCCCGGTCTGTATTGCATCATGAATTTGGCGAAACTCGGAAGTCGCACACCTGCGAAAACGATAATGTATCTTCCGTGACGTTCGGTGCGAACGAAAGCGATGTCCAAGACATTTCACGTGCAAACACGCGGTGATAACCGGGTGATAACCGTCCAGGAATCTCGACGAAAAGGTTTGCCCCTCAAGCTTCAGATACCGATAAGACGAATTATGCCTACAATGAATGATCCGTTCTTTGTAACTGAATATTTTCCACTCTTCACCGTCTCCCCTTGCCTCTCCAACGCTTTGCTGCACGTGTCATTCAGGTGTGCAAAAAGAATGGCATGCTGCAGGTATACAAACAACGGACTTATCGACGACTGCAATACGCTCGTGCCGCTCGCGGCAATTAATCGCGGCACTTCTTCTTGTCGAATAAAAAGTTAGCACAGCCTACTGCTTTAATATTTCATAATTAACATTGATAGACTTATTATCGCACGGACATAATAAGTCCAGTACACAGTATAATTATTTATGAGCGTGATGTATGTGTAAGATACATCATTACGTACGTTAATAATTCATCATTTCAGATCGTATTAGTAATCGCAAGCATAAACACCTTCTCATCGGCGCTTTACAATTCAAATGCTAATTTGACATTTCTATTTTTATTGCAAGAAAGTAACTGCGAAGTATCGATTCGTTTTTTTCTTTTTTAGTAATCGTAACTGTAACGCGTTACTTTTCAGAATTGGTAACTTGTAACTGTAACTAGTTACGTTTTCAGCGAAAAAACTGTAACTGTAACTATATACTTTCATAGAGTAACTTTCCCAACCCTGAATTCTACACAGTACAAAACTTTGTACCGGGATGTATTTCGCACGTACACTGACTCGCTCTCCTGCGTTCTTTATTTTAAACCTCGAATTGTTTCGATGCTTGACAATTAATAAGTCTAATATGTAATGACTTAAGTCTAACACCCAGACAGTAGGTGCATCGCGAAGACGTTTTTAAAAGATAAGAAGTCTTTTAGACATGTCTGCTCTGCATTATACTCATTATCTACGTTGATCGTACAAGCTGTAAGACAATAACTCTCTAAAAGCTCGCGACAATAGTACACGATAGAAATTTAAAGAGAAATGCAAATTACAAGACACTGCGAAAAATCTAGCTCGTAAAGTATAAAGATTTCTCCTCGATGTAAAGTGTTAAAGCGCCGATTAAAACAGTAGCAACGTCGTTACTTTTACTTCCGATGAATAAGGATTTTGTCTCGTGTACGTTATTCCTTCTCTGTGCACAAGGAAGAAAAATCGAGAGTCCCAGTTTACTGACGTCGAAACGACATCGATATCGCATTACCGCCGAGTTTGCAGAACGAACTCCCGGCGGTTAGTTTCCCGTCTCGTCTTTCATCCTTTTGTATTTTTGCGATACAAGACCGCGCCGGAAAATAGCCGCGAGGCGCCGTGTCCCGTTCCGCCGTGAACGTTCACCCGCGAGAGCTCTCCGCGCGCGGTACGATCGAGAATCGCCGTTAATCAGCGCCGCCGATCGCCGAACCGCTCGCGCGGGACGACCCCGCGGGTCGCGCGGTCTCGGCGCGCAGCGTCTCGCGGCGATCTTCGCGGCGCGTGCCGCCGCGCACGAAGAACCATGTCTCCCCGTGAGAAAGCGCGCTCGCGCGATACCGGGAGGCTGGCGGTGTACTAAAGCGCGTCTCCCGCGTCCGAGCGGGCCCTCCGGCCCTCTCGCTCTCGCCGGGGAGCGCGGCGCATCATCCTCGGCATTGGCGCGACGCAGCTCGAGACGCGCGAACGTTGCCGCAAGCCACCGTTGGAGTTTGGAGCGCGGGGACGGCACACCTCCGGGAAATTCCCCGTTTTCCCTTCGGAAGCTTCCATCTCGCGCTGCCAAGCCTTGTGTCCACGATCCAAGGACCGCGTCCAAGTTCCAGTTCCGAGAAATGCTGCAAGTTGATTGGCTACACGCTTCTCGGAACTAGAACTTGGACACGGTTCTTGGATCATGGACACAAGGCTTTCAAGACCTGTGTCCACGATGCTAGAACTTGGGCCGATCAAGTTGCAGCTTTTATGGAATAGCTGCACGTTGATTGGCTACACATTTCTCGAAACTAGAACTTGGACCAAGTTTTGGCATCGTGGACACAAGGCCTGTGTCCACGATGCTAGAACTTGGTCCAAGTTCTAGTTTCTCGCAACTAGAACTTGGACCTAGTTCTAGCATCGTGGACACAGGTCCACAGGCCTGCACGCCAGCTAATATACTATATAATACTTTCTTCGGTTTCTTTTTGGTTCTTTTAAGCCACCCCAGCGAGAAATGACTCGTCGATCGATATCGAATCGACGTCAATTCGACAGTGCCGATGTCGACTCGACATCGTTTCGACGAATCATTTCTCACTGGGCTTGTGTCCACGATGCTAGAAATCGGCCCGAGATCTCGATCCGAGAAATGTGTAGCCAATCAACTGCAGCTTTTCTGTAAAAGATGCAAGTCGATTGGCTACATATTTCTCGGATCGAGGATCTGGCATTGTGGACGCATGCCTTAAGTCCCAGTCTACAATAGATGATTTAAGCTCCAAGCCTTAAGAAATTGACCAATTACGGTCAAGTACGAGTAGAATACGCGACTGTGATTAGTCAATTTCTTAAGGCTTAGGGTTTAAATCTCTATTGTAGATGGGCACTAATGCCCATTTCTACCATGCAGATCACACAGGTAGCACATATGGTGGTTCATATACGCTTCATATAGCTACATGTTTCTTAAATTTAATGTTTTATTAATGTTTAGGAAACGTATAGAGAAAACTAACATGTTCCACTTGGGTAACTTCAGTTTCACAATCGGTTTGGTTCCTTTTTTATCCAGTACCAAGAATTAGAGACAGATAAAGAGTGAGATTTACGTTAATCTACAGTAGAAATGGACGTGAAAGAGTTAAAAAGAAAAGCGGAGAAGAAATCGCGATGCGAAATTGTACGCGAGCGACGACCGTGCGCGAAAAGAGAGATTATAGATGCAACATTGTCACCGACATGTTAATCCCTTTCTTTCCCCAGATCGCCGCGACGTTTCCATACAACGCATCTATACGAGGTGATAATCTATCCCAGCTGCGACGCGCTGCAAAACGTTCTACGCCTATGACGCCGCACGTCCGTTTCGTCAGTGCTGCGCAACCTTCTCGTCATTATCATCGCATTATCATTTATACGCGTGGCCTATTCGTATGCGTGGTCGCGTTATACGCGCTACTCAAGTACGTGACGAACCGCCGTGACGATTGAGTCAATGACAGAGCTTTCAGTTCCTATAGGCGTCAGATCTATTTTCTGCGATATATATTTGTGAAACGTGCGATCGAGAAATTATAACGACACCGGGAGCTCGAAAATAGAAGGCTACATTCGAGAAAAGTAATATTTGCTGACAAAAACTATTTTACAACGAGCGTATACATTTTAGAATGTAATGTAATAATGTTTAATTAAAGGATTATTTATTCATTATTATAATAATATTCATCAAAACGCGGACTCGTAATTACTGCTTTGCAAACATTGTATCCGCTGATATTTCATTTCACGCCTCGTGTAATCTCTTCTGTTCTTTTTACATAAAAATATTTAAGATTGGACGTAACCAAATTTTAAGATAACTTCATGTTTAAATCCATTCGCGCGAAAAGAATCCTCATTTTCACGTTTTAACATCCGAGAGTCGCTGCTCTAAATTCCGTTTCAAATTTAAATTGAAACTTGATTCCCGACTTTACACAACGCAACTCGTTCGCAAATAATCTTTAGTTCCCGTCAATTCACGGAGTCTCCATACAAATTTCACGACTTCCCTTTTCACGTAGCAAGCTGAAAAGGACGGGGTGCGACAGACACGTTTCCACGAGCGACGCGCATCGGAGGCTTCTCGTTCTCTTTGGGGAAGCCGAACGTCAGCGCCGACGACTCCGCGAATCCACCATTTGAGCGCCACTGCGCGCGGCGGTGGCTTCCGCCGCGCGTGTTTCTCCCCTTTTTAATCCTCGCGCCGCGGGTCCCCGCGGCCATATAAAAATAAATTTTGACGCCAGCGCGAACACGAGATGCACGACCGACGATCGGCGAAAGCGGCGCGCGGCTCGATTAGAGCCCCGAGCCCCCCTCGGTTGGCGAGGCGAACGGGGGGGGTCGTCTCTTTCCCCGGCGACAGTCGGCAGGTAATATCGAAACCCCCTCGAGCGCCGCGGATCTCGACGCCGCGCGACACGGGGGAATTCCGTCGTCGCGACGCGATAACGGCCGAGCACGAACATTGATACACGGCCGAACATTGACAGGGGAGAGAGGTATTACGTAGTCGATTAATTGCTCGCGCAAACGCGACTCGCGCGACGATAAGACAAATTGATCGTGAACTTGAACACATAAAACTCCGCGATAATCGAAAGACACGTGCCGGATGTATGTACGCGTAGCGGCGAGACGCTTTATCTTTGTATTATGTAAAGTATACGCGGGCTTGCTATTAATAGTAAAATGCCGAGTTGGGAAAGTTACTTTATAAAAGTATCCAGCTACAACTAATAAGAATAGCCTTCAAGTCGCCAGCAGTACTTAATTAACAACTTCAGTAATTTCTTGACCATATCTGGCATTTTTAATGATACAGAACATTTTTTGCGAAAGACATCACCTCAGCCCGAGTTTCAACTTGGACTTGCGCCTATAACACTCTAGGCGGGCGTCTCACCAATTAAAAATTGAACAGATATGGTCAAGAAAATACCGAAGTTATCTAGTTACAGTTACAGGTTTTTTTTTGCTAAAAATTAGATGGTAAACAGTTTCCGCGGTGTTTCTTTTTGTTTAACGAACTCATTAATTTCGATATCAAAAGCAAAAAGTACGCCGGTCAATGTATTTGCCCTCGCTAGCTATACATCTTTCTGGCAATGAGTGGATTCCGCAACGACAGAACGATTGGTCTTTTGATGCAATCCATTCATCGATCCATTTTCGCACTTCCTCGTAACTTTTCAAGTGTGTATCCACCAAGCCGTGCTGCATCGATCGGAACAAGTGGTAATCTGAAGGAGCCAAGTCTGGTGAATACGCTGGGTGCGGGACAACTTCCCACTCGAGCTGCATTAGTGTCTCCTTGACGGCTTTTGCAACGTGTAGTCGAGCGTTGTCGTGCAAAAGAACAACTTCCTTTCCTGTCGAATCTTTCCCATTGCACGTAGACGTTTGGAAACAGCCATCGGAGTAACATTTAACGCTGCAGACAATTCTTGGAGCGTACGCGCTGAGTTTTCGTCCAATAATGCTTGCAATTCGGTGTCTTCGAACTTTCTCGGCTGACCTGAGCGTTGTTTATCATTCACATTAAAATCGCCGCTTTTAAATCGCCGAAACCATTCTTGGCATGTTCTTTCCGATGGAGCACAATTGCTCTAAGCTTCGACAAGTAATTTATGAGCTGCAGCTGCGGTTTTCTTTCAAATCAAAGTAATGAAGCAGCACACGTCGAAAAACCAACTTATCACGTTCCATGTTTGATGAAAAGAAAAAAATAGCGCTGTTCGCTCTTTGACTTATAGACGTCTTAAAGATGTCTCTTAGACGTGTGTGCTGCTTCTTGTTTTTCTACTTTCTATTTTCCATCATTTCTGTATCTCTGTATCTCTGTTTCAAAAGTGTCGACTGAAAGCGCCGCGGGACGTCGCCACGTGCCGGAGACAGACTCGAGCGCCATCTGCGCGGAGAGCTGTCAAACCGGAAGGCGATCAGCTGTTGCGGTCGCCAGTGGAAACGTCAAACGCGCACGTATGTACATACGTGCGAGACTTCGCAGGACTTGACGACAGGAACAGGATTGAAGGATCACCACGTGGCGTTTTGACATAACATTGGAGCTTGCGCTCGCGCAAAGAGACGAAACACGGGTACTGTGCTCCAAATAAGAGCCGGATATCCGTTCAAGAAAGGGGGAGAGGCGTAGGCTCCGCGGGACGACGGACGTAAACACTGCCAGCCCGGGCTGGTGCTCGAAGATGAATCACGTGGAGATCGAGGACTTTTACCATCACGACTTCACCACCGTCTCCGAGTGGGAGGTGTTCATCGCGCGACTCGAGGAGATCATGCACGAATGGAGGCCGCCGCATGCGAGGGTCGCGGGCCCCCTCAAACCGGGGGATTTCGTCAACTGCCAGTGGCACGAGGCCTCGGAGAAGCTGAACTTCGCAGGTTCGCGTTTGACAAATGTAGACGACGTTACAGACCCGGCGTTCGATTCTCGAATTCATTCGGTAGAGAAACTTGGGGTGCGAAAAGTCTGCTCTCGCGGAACGGTTGCGAGTCGATTGGCTCCTCGCGCAGCACTTGGCCGGTCGACTCGCGACTTTTCTGCGACAGCAGAATTTTCGCGTACGCTTGGAGTAGTAATAACTGTTTGTCATTCAGACGTAGAATTTGTGCTGAAACACTACAAGCTGGAAAAGGAAGCGGACGAGGAGGACGCTACAAAGGAGGAGAATGAAGAGGAGTGGATACAGTGCCAAAAGGATGCTCTGGACACGTCTAACGATTTTGTTAAGCTCAATGACAATTGCATGGAGATAGCTCGTTATTACGGGGTTCGGGAATTCCTCGTTTTAATACCGGCTCGGAAGGCGAGTTTAACGGACGAGACGCGAATCAAGATCGTGCTCAGCTCGCTGACGATTGCGACCAACAACGCAAATTGGTAGGCGTAGCCGATACGATTGAAACTTCGGGCGCCGGGGGAACGCTCTGTCGTAATTCTTTTTACGCACTTTTAGTTACGTACCGGCATTGGTGCAGGTGCAGGAACCTTGGCAGAAAATGTATCTCGGTTGCTGCGCCGGTAAAGGGACCTGCGCGAGTCTCGACATGGTACATTTAAAGAAGGTCCCGCCACATTGCCGATACCTCACCGGTACGCATTGTCTGCGTTTGATCTATGTTTAAAGAACATTTGTCCGTAGTTGCGATTTTCGCAGAGAAGCAAAAATATTTTACAGACCGGTATTACTTGCAGGCTTACTCGCTCTATTCAAGCAAAAAGTCGGGGAGGGCTGCGGAGTAAAGCTCGACTCCGTAATGGTGTCCGTTAGATTTTCTTATTTATTGAAAGACTGGACTAATAGCACGTGGACGCAAGAACCTCCGGATTTCGATTTCATGCAGGGAGAAACGTTAGGTGTGGCCGAATGGGGTAAACTTCCCTTCGGAGCGACTTTCGATCCTGTCGGGTACTTGCATTGAGCGTGTTATCGTCGGGAGCGTAGCAGCGGAAATAAAAGGGCTTTCTATAAGTAGATAAATTTTTCTTATAAAAGATTCATTATAAAATGACTTCTAAGATCAACGACTCTGTGCTATGCTCCCAGTTGTGACAAAAGATTCTACGAATCTACGTGCGATGTACACCATTTTAAAATAATTTCAGGGAGCTTCACCTGTTTGTCACGTGGCCACAAATGTCAGATAACGTCGTAGTGGATAGCGAGGGATACTCGGATCTCGAACCGCAGCTCGCTCCCGAATGGTCTGTGCAAGTGAAAATGGTGGCCCTGCCGGCCTGTCTACTCGGCGAATACATGACGGACTTTCTGCATCTGTGCAACAACCAGAAGACCATGGTGGAACTACTGGGTGAGAGCGCGTCTTACATTCACGACGACGAACAGATGCTGAGCTCGGCCTTCAACGTGCTCACCGAGTCCAGAATACCCACGATTTCGACCGTTGTGGGCAGATCGAGCGCGAAAAAGAATAAGAACATCGAGGGTCCAATCGCGGAGGAGATATTGCTACCTATAATTTACTTCCTTTTCCCGGATGCAGATGAAAACTCGGTACGCTTAGGTTCCATTAGAATCTCGATGCTTGTAGACGGGCAATTCTTACGATTATACTCTATTGTAAAAGGGACTAAGCACATCTCTAAGTCACAAATTTCACAGGTGAAACAATATTTCGGTAGAACTGTCGTAAATATGTAATTTACGAAGTAAGCTCTTAATTTGCTTACTAATTGTTATTTTTTGAAACCTGAAAGAATGTCGTTTATGTCCCTTTTCGCACAATGTACGGAGATGTTTAAAAAGGAAATCACTCGAACGCTTTTAAAATAATTAAAATTGGTAATTGGTGTTCCTTCGTAAAAGATCTGTTCGATCTGTCGACGCAGTTAGAATAATTAGTTCAAAATCCTTGCAGAAGTTTCCCTACAGCGACATCACTGCGGCTGTGGAAGATGATCAGTGGAAAGGCGTGAAAACGTGCACGATGGACAGCTTGGTGTGGCGCCTGTCGATCGTTGCGGCGCACTGCACGCACAGTCTTGGCGGGGCGACCGCTCTGGCCCAGCTCTGGCACGAGTTCGCGCAGGAGATCAGATTTCGCTGGGAGAAGTGCGTCCTGATACCTGGGTGAGTAGTAAAGTAATCTCTTTATTACGACGAGCGGTTCTCGTCACTGATGCGCGCCCATGCGAATACACGTGTTACAAAATAAGGTAGAGTCAATGGAGAAAACTTTGAATCTCTCATTACGTTGTCGCCTCTCGTCCAGAACGACCGGGGAGCTCGACGTCGTTCTCGCAGTAATGTTCGAGTTCACTTGGTCGCGATAGCGCTTCTCTAGAGACCAGACACCTCGATTGCAGTCTTTGGATAAACACAATCGCGAGGTCCGTCGTGCGAAATATTCGAAGTAAAAATAAACGTTCGGAAGTGCGTGCGCGCTCGAACCGTCCGCAAGAGCACTCCCGGCTCGCTCGCTTCAACGATTTGGTAATTAAGAGACCTTACATAAGGTTGCTTAGAGCTTACACAGAGATATACGTCTATTTTCTCAATCTGACACTCGCAATTCTAACTGGTCGCACGCGTTCGCGCAGGCATTACACGGTAATGCCTGTCGCGTGTCGTGTGTTAATGTCATGGTCGAAACCGAGTATGTTTCGAACGTGTTAAATGCCGAAGAGATGTTTCCCTGTCACACTAAACGACACGTCAGAAATCTGTTAACAGATTCATTCACTCCTCCAATATTAGATACGAAGTTCCGCAAAGTGGATTTCTACGTCGTCGCGACGAACATTTTCCGGAGTGGCGTTTGACGCGTTCGGGACTCAGCTCTTGGCGATCGGAGCGTCTGTCAAGATTATCTAGATTTAAAAGCGCCGCACGGCTGAGAGCAGTCTGATCGAGACTGAGCACTACTGAGCACGCTTGAGCAAGAATGAACGACGAGACAATGGAGGCCGCGGATATTTAGAGCGGCACGAGGCCGCTCCTCGTGGTGGGATTGCGAGCCATGTAAATGTCCATGTCGTGGTCGGTCCAGTTGTTCTCGTCGTAGTTGTTGAGGGTATGCGTGGAGTCGGCCAGGCTGTATCGGCTGCCAGGTCGCGGCGGATTTGGCTCCAGATTGCGGTTGCGCGATCGCGGTCGCTGCCGCCGGGCCGACGAGTGCGGCGGCAGGTGATTGTTGCTGAAGTTCGACCGCGACATCCGGTCCGAGGCGGCCGCCAGCGACTGGCGCGATTGCCGTAATTCTGGAACAGGATGCAAATACGTTAAACGATTGACGGAAGATTGAGGATCGTGGCAAGTGCCACGAAAGCGAGCGCGTGCGGTTAACTGACCTGGTCTCGTGCTCACGAGATTGGAGGCTAGCGCGGTGTTAGAGAAGTACCGCGTGGAATTGTTGGAGAAACTGTGCTGGGACTGGCCGTCGGCGATTGATCGGGCGGACACTTTGCTGCTGTAGTGCCCGGCCTGAGAGCGCACGTCGTCGATGCAGGATGCCCTGGTGATTGATCCTGAAATTCATTCCGCATAATTTACCTTTCTCACGCAAGACGCTTAACGAGGACACCATTGCTTACAATCATTTGTCCGTCCAGTATTTTTACACACTTCTCAAAGACCAAAGATATCTTTGGAAGGATCTTTTCACTCAGGATGACAAAGATCAGATGCAAGTGATGACTTATTTTAAGGTGAAATTACTAGGCGTATAAAAAAGATTGTACACGGAGAGAGAATTTTCTTTCGAAATTTATCCAGAAAATATTGCGGGAGACAACACGGCGTTTTAAAGAATTTTATGAGAGTCTTTCGAAATTTTACCACACAGTCCACTAGTAGTTGTACTTAGCATACATTTTACTAGTAGAATAAATAGTAAACTTTCAAAAAAACTCTCACAAAGTTCTCCAAAATACCATGTTGTTCCATCGCATGATTTTCAGGATATAGGTATACATCTTACGAGAAAATTCTCTCCGTGTAAATTCTATGGACGGCAAATATTTGATAATTTATAAACGATAGAGAGAGGAAGAGAGGCGGTTACCCACCTTGTCGATCGATGGGGAAAATCCTCGGCCGCGGTATGCTCCTGTTGCTGTAGGCCGACACTTGGTCCCACTCCTTCTGGGCGTTGTAGGCGCTCAGAGTGGCCATCGACGACAGGGGCCCGCCGGGGCTGGGTGTCGGACCCACGTTCGAGCAACAATTGACCGGTAGCCCGGCGATCGGGCCGCCCATCTTCGTTTGATCGATGCTGTGCAGAGTGTGCAGCTTACGGGCGCGGCGCCGATTCGCGACCACGAAGATGATCACCGCGACGACAATCGTGGCGCAAATCGCCGCGCTCGCGGCGATCGTGATCTTGTCCATGTTCGACGTGGGCGAGTTCTCCGTTCTGACCTCGCGGCACTGGTTATACGGCACATTTGCCGGTGTGATGTTGGTCTCCTCCAGCGAGACCACACAAACCACGATGCATTCCTGCAATTGGTCGATCGCGTGAATGAATTGGTAAAAATGTGTAAGAGGCAAAGTACAATTTTCGATAGCAAAAATCCTTAGAATGGAAATAGGTAATATGACGTGGACCAACAGGGGGATTTAAAATTGCTCTATTCATTAAAATTCGGCATTGACAAAAGATAAAACTTAGCCATATTTCTCTCTAAAACGGAGAGATTTATTAGAATCGGAATGAGTCCATAAAGAGGTTTTTAATCGACATGCCAATTTTTCCAGCCATTTCTTACCTTCTTGAAATGTTATCTTACTTTTCGGTGAAAAAGAACGTCTTCTTACCTGAGAGGGTACATTTTTTATTTTGAATTCTCGCTCGCTAGCCTCGAGCGGCGGCGCTTGCTTGAAGCTATTATCCCCGAACAGTCGGTAGATCACTCTGAAGCCCAGAATGTTGGTCGCCTCCGTGTCCCAGTATATGATGACCGCGTTGTCTTGTCTGAGCACATCCTTCACGACGATGTCCTTCTCGTTCGATTTCGACTTGTACAACGGCGATCCCAGGACCAACGGCGGCCTTGGCTGATGCTGTTGTATATGATCCTGCGCTTGCTTCGGTGGCGACGGAGTGGTCCTCACCACCACGACGTTACCGGTTCGCGCGGCAGTCGGCCGGGTTGTCGGAACGTAGGTCGAGGATGGCGCCGGCGGTGCCGTTCTCCTCTGCTCGGTCGTCGACGACACCGTCACCGTGGTCGTGGACAGTGTCGTGCTGGTGACTAGCTCGGTTGTGGAAGTCGTGGGCCGTACGGTCGGGAGATGGGTAGCGATATCTCCAACCGCCGTCTCCGCCGTCTCCGTCGGTTCTCTCGTGTCCACGCTCTCCACCGTCCCGATTCCGATTATCTCCGACGGTCGCTCGCAATTCATGTCTGCCACAATTAGTTTTTATAAGAATACACATATGATATTCCATTCAACTTGAAAGCCCAGAACGAATCGCCCTACACGCGGAGAGAATTTTCCCTTCAAATTTATCCTGAAAACCATGCGACCGTGGGACAACGTGGCACTTCGAAGAGCTTCATGAGAGGTTTTCGAAATTTTACCACACTATTCACCTCAGTAATCGTACTTAGTATACATTTTACTGGTAAAATGTATGGCAAAATTTAAAAAGAAAAACTCATAGTTCTTTGAAATGCCATGTTGTCCCACGATCACGTGGTTTTCGTGATAAGAGAAAATTCTCTCCGTCTAGATAATCGTCCTTTCAAGTTAACGCTAATCTTAAGGCCGAGAAAACTTCTCCTTAATTTTCTGAGTTCAAAGATTTTCTTTCAATTAATGGCATTAAGTCTTTCAGCTAATTGGTTTTTCGCTAATTAAAGAGGACAAATTACATTTTCTACATCAGCCAACTTCCCGAATTAAAGCAATTTTATTCGAATAAATATTAATCTTCCGACCCGAGGAAAAAATCAGATTTTCCACGCTTGAGAAACCTTACCGTCGGGATCGATGTTGTAGAAACTCTTGTCCTGCAATCGTTGCGGACTGCCGCAGAACTGCGGCTTGCGCTCGCGGCTGGTGACCTGCAGGTCTCGCGTCTTAATCCACTCGACGATCCAGCGTAAGCGGCAATCGCAGACGAGGAATCGTCCGCCCAGACTCAGACCGCGCAGGGTACCGTTCAGTTGGGCGAGCGCCTCTTCCGGTACCGTCGACAGCGGATTACCGTCGATTGCTAGCAGCGTGATCGACGGGTTTTCTTGGAAGGCGTCGACCGGTAGTTCGGTGATCAGATTGAACCCGATATCCAGCACCTGGAGAGAATCGGCTCGTTTCGTAAGAAATAACGTGGCTTGAACAATCGCCAGAAAGAAGTAGTCGATAACAATCGGCATTAGAGGAAAACGAACGTTTTAACAGAATGTTCTGTTCAAAATGTTAAGTTGCAGAATTGCGCAGAACAACACGAGATATTATTAACTAATTACAATTCTCCCTTGCCGAGTATCTTTAAACGACTGGATTTTTGACAATTTTTAAAGAATCGACGAGAGAACTTCGTCAGTGATCTAAGACAACAAATAGAGATCAATTTAATTTTTGATTGCTTACTCTAAGGTCGTGGACGCTGTTGATAGCCGCCGTGGGGAAATCCGGGATGAGATTGTTCAGCAGACTGAGAGAGCTGAGGGTGTTCCGGATGCCGTAGAACGCGTCCGGGCCGATGTTCTGGATCAGGTTTCTCTCGAGGTTCAATCCTGTGAGGGAATCGAGACCCTCGAAGGCTTTTGTCCCGGATGTGCCGGGAAGCTCGCGTATGCTGTTCTGCGAGAGATCGAGGAAGGCCAGAGTCCTCAGTCCCCTGAGCGCTTCCGGCACTTTCTTCTGCCGCGTTCCTTTGAGATTGAGATTCTTCAGAGTTCTCTCCAGGCCACGGAACGATCCCGGAGCGAGAGTGACCTCGTTGTCGGAGAGTTTCAGCGTGATCAGCTTCGTGCCGGCGAAGGCGTTGTCGTTGACTCTGGTGATCTTGTTCATCGAGAGATCGAGCACGGTGAGGTTCCGCAGGGTCTTCAGGTTGACGCCGGGGATTTCCGTGAGCTCGTTATCTTTGAGATTCAGGCTCTTCAGGTGATTCTCCTGGCCCTTGAAGGCCTCCGGCTCGAGGCTCCTGATGCGGCACCCAGACAGCTGTATGTTGTTGATCCTCAGGGTGGCGAACGAGCCGTTCCTCAGGGCACCGATCGTGCTGTTGTTGATGTAGAAGAGATCAATCGTCGACTTGGTGGCGTAACGCCGCATCGCCGACATCAGCTGTTCATAGTCGACGATGTCGCACTGCACCGAGAGCTCGCCGGCCAGATTGTAGTCGCAGATGCACGAACTATCGAGGTCCACCGCGTGTTGCGACCACGGACAGGCGGACGTCGTCGCTGCGACGACGAACGCGCCCGCGAGCAGCAGCAACAGCTCCTTTGGAATCGCATCTGAAAATCAGGACGCAAACGCCATTTAGAATACGACGATAAGGAAAACTTCTGCAGAGCCTATGTCTTTTTCACACAGCCTGACAAAATTACTTCGGAGATCCTGATTCCCTTTCGTGAGAAGCAGATTGCTAAGTGTTCGTAAACGTGGCAAGGGTGAATTGTAACGAGAGGACTATTCGGTTGATAAAAAAAATGCGAAAAATAAAACAAATAATTATTGAGGACATGTATACTTTGGATTTTAAATCAATGTTGCTTGTCACGTGTATCGAAATACTCGATTGAGCAATGTATGAAGATATTTTCACCGTGCGAATGGAACAAATTTGTCGTCGACGAGATGTAAAAGAGCGCGGCGGAATTAGGGGGGACGGGGATAAATTCCGAAAATCTACGGTACAGCGATCGATGTAGGATTTCACAAGAGGCGATAATGTTGTCGCCGTCACGCGAGTCGTACTCTGAAATTTTCCGAATCGCGCGGATGCCATTGTAACGTAATACGAGGTGTAGGGAACGCATCATCTTAGAGAAAGCGCCAATTCCTTTGGGCACACGTGGGTACACGCGTGATTTCGAAACGTGTCGCAACACACCTCAGGCGGCTCGTGCATTCTCGCAATTGTGTCGCTTTTCATTATGACGCCTCTCGCGCCTCCCTTCGCGGCGCCTCGGGACAGGCGGCCGCGCCGCGAAATGCCATCCGGTCATTTTCGTCGAGCGTTATCCCCGTATTCTAACGACATTGTTCTCTCATCTCTCGCGGATATCGACGAAACGGAGCATGCGATTCCGCGTTTTTCTTTTTTCCCCCTCCTCGCGTAACGTTCTATTAACCCCGTGCCGGTGAAAATTCGCGGCGCCTTCCGTTTTACCTCCGCGAACGTCTCGTAAACGTTCTTTCCTAAATTATACGTACAATCGCCGGGTTGTGTGTGGAGCAATTGAATTTCCTGAAAGGCACTGCGAGTTTGCTACGCCGTACACGGCCGTTCGTTACGGTAACAACGAGAACGATCCATTTCTCTCCATATACGAGCCAGCGAAACTATTAAAGCGATAACTAATCTGCGAAGTGCGTTATCGGAGGGTAATGGCAAGACCGTGGGCGAGGAGACGGAGAATGAGAATTAGGGGACACTTAGGGTGCACTTAGCATTTAAACGCCGCAAGTGCTGTTCGTTATTTCAACTAAAGTTTTATAATGACTGGAGGAAATCTTATAAGTCGCTAGAAGTGATTGGAAACTTCAGTAGATTATTTGACCGTGTCTGGCAAATTTTTCTCTTCAAACGTTTCGACCATGGTTTGTGGTCCTTTTCAACGGAATTACTGACACAATTATCACTTGAAAAGGACCACAAGCCACGGTCGAAACGCTGTGAGTTTGAACGTAAAAATTTGCCAGACATGGTCAAGTAATCCTCTAAATTTTTATAAATTTGAAAATCTACGATCAGATTTTTCAATCGGAGAGTTTCATACAAGTATAATTGTTAAAACATAGAACTTGTGGTCAACCCAACTGGCAATGTACCTTTATTTAGCAAATATAACGATTCGAATCGAGCGTCCACAGTGTTCAGATACGCTTGTAGTTTTATCATTTGACTCTGTTTTGTGGACGACGATGACTCACTTTGTAGTACTCGAAAAGGACCCAAAGTAGGATCGAAACGTTGTATTTGCTAAATAAAGGAATACGCCAGTTGGGTTGACTCCGCGTTCCCTGTTTTAATTCTTAATCATCGCTGGGTGACTGTAAGTAACTTCCTTCTTCGTAAACGTAATTGTATTCAGAGATTCGAACAACGTAATATGCGCAATGCAGAATCAAAGGGTTCAACGGCTGCATTTCGCGTAAGTGGAAATCAATTGTTATCCCTGCTACATTGGATTTCAAAGACGTCCCGCGTAATTGGACTTTCACGAGAGAAATCGAGCAATTCAATTTCTGAATGATAGCTTGGTGTAATAACCACGTAATAGTAATCACCAAAGATCATTTCTTGCGACGCAGCGTGAGTAGAGGCAGCTCCGGAAAGGTCAGGCGAGCGAAGAGACTCGACGTGTCATTATTAAAAAGTTGAAAAACAACGTTTTTCACGATTTGTGCGAGAGCGAGATTTTTATATTTTTTAAATCGGCTCGTCAAGCTGATTCAACAAGTATGAAAGTCTCATTTTTGCTAAAAATGTGACTTAACATCGTCCTTTTCGTATTTATGAACGAAAATCCTAGAGACAGGTCCGAGGCCTTTTCCACTGTTTTTATTATTTATATTGATTTATTGTACATTTTTATGATATTATTATATTTAAATCTACAAGTTTCGCTACTCGTAGCTTGCCTCCTGGCGTTTCTGGACCCGCGTTTCGGGCAATTTCGATAGGTGAATCTTCGTCTTGACGAACGGTAAATTCGATTCCGGACAGGTAACGTCAGCTGGAATAGCCGTCATGATCGAAACCCGCAGGAATTCGTGCACCGTAAGGTGCGTGGCTATCGATAGCGAGATCGGGCCGAGGACACGTATCGCGCGTAACGCTCCGGCCGTTGACTCGTAACGGGTTCGGTCTATGGGCTCGGGTTCGTTCAACGAGGCGTTCTCAAGCGCTCTGGTCACGCTGGCTTTTCTTACGCCGACGCGATTTTCCACGGTTATCGTGTCCCGCGAATGCGTATCGCCACAAGTGGCCTAATGACCTTCGGCGCCACTCGGCTATTTCATTTTTCCAATTTAAGCTATCCATAAGCTTTTTAAACAAAACAGAAATTCCTCCAACTCTCTGTCCCGCCAGATAATCCTAAGAGAAAGAGTAAAAAAAGGGGGGGGGGGAATTGTATTTACTCGCAGTTTGCACCTCAGTTCTTTGATCCAGGTTCACCGTCAAATCGATATCGATCATGATTTTTCGGATCGTTCGATGACGACTAGATTCCTCATTGATCTTCGCAACAAGATCGATACAGATCCACGATAACACTTTGATATCTTGTCGACGTATACTTAACATCTATACACGGAGAGACTTTTCTTTTATTCTGAAAAATCATGTAATCGTGGGACAACACGGCATTTCGTAGAATTTCACGAGGGTTTTGTGAAATTTTACCATACATTCTACTAGTGAAATGTATACCGAGTATAATTACTAATAGAATGTATGGCAAAATTTCAAAAAACTCTCATGAAATTCTTCGAAGTTCCATGTTGTTCCGCGATTACACGATTTTCCGGGTAAATTTTAAGAGAAGATCCTCTCCGTGTAGATGTGTGCATATCAATTTGACATCGTATCAGTGCCGACTAATTATTGATGATTTAGTTGATATGCAATAGAAGACATGTTCAAGTCGAGTCGATAAATGGAGATGTTGATTCGACTTGAAATATGACCAGATCGTGCTCTGGGGAAAAAAGACAGTATCCCATTTTGGGGCCCACAATTAGTGATCGAATTATTTCGATTGTTCGTAACTCTACTCTGGGAAAAATTTTGACCGTTTTTTTGTAAGCGACTTAACATTTCGGCTAGTGCCTCTTAAGTGAAAGTTATCTTTGCGTTACTGAATATCGACAGAACTAATTGAGAGAATGGATTAGTATTACTTGAAAATCTTGCACTGAAAAAAAAATCTGATAGATCAACCAGTCTGTTAGAAAATGGACGAATCAGAATTCCTTTAGGATTTACCATGAAAGATATTTAATAACCAGAAGTTTGCTGGACTTCACTACAAATCTGCACGGAAAAAAACATTTAGCTGCTGTAGCTAAAATTTAGTAAAATATGGACAGGTAATATTTTTAGTTGTGATAGCTCAATATTTTGCTACGACAGCAAACGGTTTGCTGTCGTAGCAAAATATTGAGCTATCACAACTAAAAATATTAGCTGTCCGTATTTTACTAAATTTTAGCTACAGC